ATTGTAGAGATGAGGTCTCGCCTACCCAGGCGGGTCTCGAACCCGAGGGCTCAGGCAATCCACTCACCTCAGCCTCCCAAAGGCGCAGGATTACAGGCTGAGCCACCGAGCCCGGCTCAGAGAATTTTCTTTAGAGAGAGACCCACTTCTCTCTGGGTCTTCTTTCATCATCTCTTTTAACTTCAAATAGCTCACAGAGTCATTGGACAGGATTCACTAAGACAAAGAAAAAAGCCTTCAACCAGGGAGGACACGAAAACAATCTCAGAAAGAAGACACAGGACACAATGTTTCAAAATGTGGATATTGTTTACTCGAAGCAATAGTCCAGGATTGTGAAGTACAACACACATTTTAAGAATGAGACTTTCGTTTCATGGTCAAGCACCAGCATCATGCACACAGCATCGGGTTGGTTAATAACAATGCCCCGGTGGGATCCGTTCCTGGATGAAGACCCACTTAGGTGTGACCACCTCCCTTGCTTCACCACTTGTAATTCCGGTCGGTTTGATTGTACATCTGAAGCCTTCCTCTGCGTGACAGCAGCAGGCTTTGCTTATCAGCCAGTCGTGTTAGTAGCTGGCTACTTGTTACGGTTAAAAAATAAGAGGCAGTTTCTTTGCTTTGCAGGCAGCAAGGCGTGAGGCACAGGCCTCTTTACTGTTCCATATGGCACAGGAAGATGCTCTGGGCGAAGGGCACTGGGGAGTTGGGGCCACACCAAAGAGAAGGCCCTGCGTAAAGAAAACCCTGTGTGTTGGGCCCGAGAGGAACGGTGCTTGTGGACTGCTTATGGTCTGTCCAGTCAAGGCGTGGCAAACCCAGGTAAAGTGTTAAAAACTTCAGTACAAAAGATCCTTTAACACATTTGGAACCAAATTCTCTGTTCTGAAAAACATGGTACTAAGCGTCACAAAGCTTTCCCTCCAATCTACTACTAGAAAACACTCATGCCAAGGCCCACAGACCCAGAGGAGTCAGGACTGATCAAGAGAAAACTGTTCTTCCAAAAGAAAAAGAAAAAAAAAAGACAGCGGTACATAAAGTGCTTCTTTTTTAATGAAACAAATCCAAAAGATGTACAGTCAGGCTCAAGTTGTGCAGTTCACAAGCATGAAGAAAACAAACAAACAAAACGACAGAGTTCAGGACAGTCAGAATTAACCCAAGACGAGGCTGGACTTGCCACCAGGGGGATTTCTTCTGGACGGCACTGGGGCCGGGGCCACCGGGCTGGGCACAGGGGCAGCGGGCACGGGCTTCTCTTCACTCTGCCCCAGGCTGCCCTGCAAGTCTGTCTCCACATTTTCTATGAAAAAATAATGGAAATAATGCTGATAATTACAGGCATCGCCTGTTAAGACTCTAAGTGAGGTCTGTATTTTTTTGGGGGGAGGATGGTTAGAAACATACCTAAAAATGTCAACAGAACAGCCATCACCAACCCAGATGCCCAGAATTCATGTTTTGCCATATGTGTTCTTTTTTTCTGTTTTGGGGCGGGTCGAGGTCTCACTCTTGTCGCCCAGGCTGGAGTGCAGTGGCAGGATCACAGCTCACCACAGCCTTTACCTCCTGGGTGATCCTTCCACCTCAGCCTCCCAAGTAGCCATATATTCTTTTCTTTTCTTTTTCTCACTCCATCAACCAGGCTGGAGTACAGTGGCATGCTCACGGCCACCCCAGCATCGACCCACTGAGCTCCAGTGATCCTTCCCCTCAGCCTTCCAAGTAGCAGGAACTACAGGCACGCACTACCACACCCAGCTAGTTTTTTATTTATTGTAGAGACGAGGTCTTTTATTTATTATAAAGCAAGTTGCCCAGGCTTGTCTCGAACCCACGGGCTCAGGCAGTCCACCTGCCTCAGCCTCCCAAAGTGCTGAGTTTACAGGCTGAGCCACCAAGCCCGGCCACACTTCGCACTTTAAGGTCATAAGCATTAGTGTAGTATTATCTAATATCTTAGACATCGTTTAATTGAATCTGATTTGTGAAATTTCCAACAAGCATATATTCTTTTTTTTTTTGGGAGTTGGGAGTCTTACTCTGTTGCCCAGGCTAAAGTGCACAGCCACCACAGCCTCAAATTGCTGGGCTCTGGGCGATCCTTCCGCCTCAGCCTTCCAAGTAGCTGGAACTATAGGCATGCGCCACCACCCCAAATAATTTTTTGATTTATTGTAGAGACAAGATCTCACCAAGTTGCCCAGGCTGTTCTCAAACCCATGGGCTCAGGCAATCCTCTCACCTTTACCTCCCAAAATGCTGGGATTACAGGCATGAGCCACTGTGCCCAGCTAGGCATATATTCTTAAATAAGTTATCTGTTGGGTAGTTTCCAAGCCTAGAAAAATCACTGATTCAAAGTCAAGAATGACTAAAAAAAAAAAAAATTCTGTGTTTTCTATGAAAGAAAATTTTTACTAAGAATTTAATAGTTTAGCCAGTCTCGGTGGCTCAGCCTGTAATCCCGTGCTTTGGGAGGCTGAGGTGAGTGGA